TAGGTCATAATTAATATGGGAAGTCAGCTTTGCTTTGAATCCTAAGAAGAGATTGAAGAATTCAGTTTTTGGTGGAATAGCATTTGGAGGATATGGTAGGAAATTGATATTTGCATAAGCAATCAAACCAGTATTGAATGCATTCTCCAGTAAAGATTGTAATTTTATAGCTTCCCCACCTAACTCGACGATATTAATGGTTAATTTACCGATATCTAACTTAGAGCCCATATCGAAGTATAGGTTACCATCAGATTTTTTATGCTTAAGAATCCATGTTTTCGAATTCTTTTGAACGCAGGCAATTGTTACTTGGATTGCATTATATACTTCATTTCATGAAAATCTTTTTTTAGAAGTACACATGGATATTAAATTCCACCATACAAAGTGATCATTGGGATTTGAAATTCTGGATTGTTCTAGTTTTATGGGATTTAGAAGCTTTTGTTTTTGATCCAAGGCAGTTTCGCTAATAGTAAGTTTTTTCGAAGGTTTTCTGGAGCTGGGTTCCCTATTATTATTTGCCCGGTAGTAGAAAAAGCTGTAGGATTTTTTATTTCGAATAATATATGCATTATTACTATCATGTTCTTGGTCACATATTGGACAGTATGATGGAGAGATGCGCGATAGTGGAAATTTATCAGAAAAATTTTCAGATGGATATGAGAGACTATATCCTTCGATTCTAGCTTCTTGAAGTAATGTCTCTACCAGTTCGAATTCAGCCTGAGTGGTTTTACTATTCGTATCATCAAATCTTTGGACTTTTGGCTCTGAAATATCTAAAAGAGAACTTTTTATGACTTCTGATTCATCATTGGGTGGACGGATCATAAAGTCAAAGTTGCTTCCATCTTTTGGACAAATAGCTTTTTTTACACGAACACGTTCTCCAGTCTTTTCGTCAGACTTGGGGGATCCAAGCATCCATAAGGAGAAAGACTTTTTATTTGCGATATTATCAATAATACTATTTCCTTGTAAAGCTGTCAGAAGTTTCTTACGAACAAGCTCAGTAAAAACTGCAACCCGAGCAATATTTGGAAGTCTCATGCCAGTAGTAAAGACATGGAGAGATATTTTTTTCGCATCACTACTACTGGCAATAACTATAGTTTTAGGATTCCACTTCGGAAATATCTCCAAACATGTCTTTCTAAAAGCAAGAATAAGTGAATCTAGTATCTCTTTGCGTGATAGCTTAGGTTCAATAGTATCAAGCACTTCTTGTAGTAAATCAAAATCTATAATAGGCCAGAGTGGCTCATCCCCATCGATGAATTCATGTAAGGAATGGCCTTCACGATCTAAAAGTATTGCTTCTATCTCATCCGCATTATCTGCGCCTAGAAAATGCCTTGGCCTAACACTATTATCTCAAATTTTATATAGAGATGCACCTATATCAGAGGCTTTAAACTCACAATAGTAGGGGGCGGGAGCGTCAAAGAACTCTGAAAGCTCAGATTGTTCAGTCATTTTTTTAGATACATTATTAAAGTATACCAAAACTTAAGGTATATTAATCGTAAGAAAAAAGTTCAAAATGAAATTAATTTCTCGAGATTATTAATTGATCTATACAAATGGGAGGCGAAAAAAAGCAGACACCCTGGCATTTTTATTACTGTCCATATATTCTTAGGACTGGAGAAGTATGTAATCAGAGATGCTATGATCCAAATGGATGTAAAGTTCATTGGAATTCTAGGCAGGTTCCTTGCAAGGAATGCGGTGAGCTGACAAGAGGCAAATATGACTATTGCGATATACATGCAAAAAAACATAGATCAAAGGAACATTATCATCAAAAAAAGATTGTAAAAATCCAGAATATATCCCAGCAAACTGTTCTAGAAATTTCGTCCTAGTTTCTGTCCTAGTTGTCAAAATTTTCTAAGACGAATGAAATATAGCTAGATGGTAATTTTAAGATGAATGAAAGGAAAAGAAATAGTCTGTCCTGGTTGTTCTGGTTGTCCTAGTAAATTTTGGACTTTTTTTCTTTTTTTTTTTTTTTTTTACCTATAGATATACCAGTATATAGCATATATATAGCATACATATATTATACATATACTATAGGATGGATTACGATTTTTTTTAAAATTTTTATTTTTACTAGAACAACTAGAACAAGTATAAAAAGAACAAGTTAAAACAAAGAAAGAAGCTTTTCTCTCATATCAGAATCCGTCTTAGTTTTCGTCTTAGTTCCCAAAATAACCAGGACAACTAGGATGGATCACGTCAAAAATTCAGAAGAAGGTCTCATCTTTCTAGACATGTATTCGGGTATGGTATAAATGGGCTGGCCATAATAATACATATCGCACCTTCAACCTCGAACGTGAAATCGGCATACATGTACTGGCAACAAATAGGCAATAGTTACTTTGGTTGCAAGATGCGCTCTTCTGACAAACAAATAGGCGGTAAATACATTTGCCAGTATCCCTCTGATGAAGAAATAGTTTGTGGAATGGAAGTATGTGACCAGAAGGGTGTAGTATTCACTGGAAAAGACGCCAGCGACCTCTATGCAAACAAGATGGGTGTGTAAGACCGACAGCATCAAAATATGGATATTGTAATTTGCATGTAAATAAGTTCCATTCGAAAGCAAATTATTACTGGAAGAAGTTGGCTAAGATGCTTCAGAATGGGCAAACTCCAGAGGCATTGGGGCAGGCTCTCGATAGAATGAAAATGCCTAATGCTATAAGTTGGCCCTAATGATTTATCAAAAATTTGGCCTCATGAAAAATTTATAGGGACGGCAAAAAAACTTAACAAGAACGCTAGAAGTATAGTAAACTGGCAATTTTAGAACTCTCGAAAGGCATTTTTACTACTTGTCCCTATGTCCCTATGAGTCCCTATGAATTTCCGAACTCTTTACCTTTTTATTTTTTTTTTATATATACCATACATCGACCATATACCAACTATATCAACCATATATATGACTATATTTACTTATAAAAATACCATAGAAAATCGATTTTTTTCCTAGAACTTTTATATTTTATAGGAACTTATAGAGACATAGGGATAAGTAATAAAGAACTCAATAAATCAAGCTAAGAAGTCCAAAAATGATATCGAGATTGTCCCTATGAGCGTCCCCATGAATTTTTCTTATAGGGACTGAGAATTTTTATAGGGACACTCAAAAAATAGCGCTCCGATCGTTAACAATGTTAACGGAGTTTCCAATTCAGTGCTCCAATTTGTGATCATTTATAAAATGAATATATTTATTAAATATTTCACGAGGGTCACCAACCCGGCAACCAAGCTCTGCCCTAGAAAGTGACCTGGTAAAAAAATTTACTAGATCATGTGTCTTAAAAATCAGCCTGAAATATGCCGGCCAAATTTAGACGCGAATTTACTGCACCATCTGACGCATTTTTTTTTATCACAATTTGGCATTTTAACAGGCAAACAAGCAGGCGCAAAAGGTAAGCACAACAATATAGAACTGAGAACCAAATCAGGTACAGAAGGCCAGCACCCTCAACATAAAACTAGAAATCCAAACAGTTACAGAAGGCCAGCAACCTCCAAAATAGAATTTGATACCCATTCAGGCGTAGGAGGTCAATACCAATCAGATATCTACAAGGCAATAAAAAGGCCACAAAGCAATGAAAACAAGCGGATAGCTACAAGGTAATAAAAAGGCCACAGAACACTAAAAACAGTAACTAGGTAATATTATACTCGTAACTAGATAACATTATACTCGTAACTAGATAACATTATACTCATATCTAGATAACATTATAACGTAACTGGATAACACTCTTATAAGAGTATTATCCAGTAAAGATGTGAGATATACATCCTGTATCATCTAAAATCTTTTAACCTCCCACTCACATTTTCAACCTATCACTACTTAAAAGTTGCTTTAATAGTAGCATGAAATGTTAAGGCAAGTTTGATTTTTATCAAATTTTAACGTTAGAAAATTATTTTAATTGATAACTATAGGGCTTGGTTAATTTCTTGGTCTGGAAACTTAAGATAATAGTTGATGATAATGATGACGGATTTCCAATAATTATGGTATCAGATAATATGAAGATTAACAAAACATCTCCAAAGCAACCAAAGAAAAAGAAACCAATAATTAGAGAACTAAGAATGCGTAGTCATTGTATTTCTGTTAACAATCATAACTTTGTAACTCAATTGAAATTTGAAAATAATTATAGGGATCATCTTTAATGCAGAAATTAATAATTTATACATATGTATTTTTTACACATTGAATTTTAAATACTAGATAGATATTTAAAATAAGAAATTATTTAAATAGTATCCTAAAAATATAGAATTATTATTATGAAATACTGTATTTAGAATATATAGAAAAGTTAGATAGGATTTCAAGAAAAAAATTTATAGTTTATATAATTAAAAAAAAAATAATTGGTAGAATTAACTGCTAAATAATATCCTATATAAGAAATATTACTCTTAAAATATTATAAATACAATCGCTAGTGAACATAATTGACTAATACTTAATTTTATTATAAAATAGATATTGAATTAGAGGTTTAAAAAATATGTTTATCTTTAATGATAATATTGAAATTGAAATAAAAATAATCAATTTTAATGGTTTGTATTTCGAAGAGAATAATGATATATGCTTTATATATTTTTTACAGCACTGATTACAAGGTATAAATCCTTCTTATTAACTCACGTGTTTAGATAATTTTGGTAAGGATTGATAGCTAATAGATCGTCATTTCACCTAAAAACGCGAAACCAATTCAATTTTTTTTTTTTTAACGTTGCTCTTTGTCTATGACCGTGTAAGTTTTTGTATAAATGTTGAGAACTATCGGAAATCAGTTATGGCAAGTCACCATCGAGCGGTGGTCGACCTTCATTAGAGATCAGCCCCTTTTAGCAATTGTTTGATGCTTTTGCTTTGGAATAATACTTTTTTTTTTTTTTATAAAGCAATAATGAATACTGAACAAAGAAAAGTTTCCAGAAAGGATCGACAAGATGGGGATATAAACTTCTTCTTAAAATCTACAGCATCTACTCCAATATCCTTTTTTCGCTTAACTCATCCAACTCAACGTATACGAGCCATTAATAAATATAAAAAATGTCTTGCCATTGCTATAAACCGTAGTAATGGCTCAATGCTTGATAAACTGAAAGCCTTGGATACTAACGTATGTATTTGACAATTTCGAAATTAAATGTGAAACATTTTTAATGTATTCCTTAAATAGGAAGAATTTATACAACGAGACTGGGAAACTTGGTTAAAGGAAAAGAAAGCGGTATGTCTAACTATCAGATATTTCAGACGTACATGGTTGTGATTTTTAATATTCAAATTTATCTTTAGGTCCTAGCCTGTCGAACAAGACACGATACAAATTTGCAAATTCAACAAGATTTTGCCTTAACGATGAAGACAGTAAGTCTTTCATGAGTATAATTTTGGACATTTACAACATTGCTCAAAAATATTTTGGTCAGATCTTTGGTGCAACGAAAAACGATATTGGAGAACATAATTATATTGTTTCAGAAAAACGTCAGCTGGAAGATACGGAAAGTGAGGAGCTCTCTCATAAATTTTCGGTTCCAAAAAAGATAAAATCTGAAACCAGCAACATTGATGAAGTGCATAAAGAAATTGATGGTAGAACTGCACGTTCATCTAACAAACTATACCCAGAATTGAATAGCTTCAATAATATATTTCTTCAAACACCATCTGAATTGACATACCTTCCCGAATCAAAGGATTCAAGAGATGACACCGAACCTGAACAAAAAGAAACAATTCAATTTCAATACGATTGGTTTGTCGGACTTGGCATAAAAGAGTCAACGTTGAGTGAATTTGACAATAAGGTAATGTTTTAACACTTGATTTCAATTATAGGTGTTAAACTTTTAACATTTGATTTTCTTGCATATACATAGTGGACCATCGGAACAATTAATATTTCAAATTTGCTACTAGAATATCGTAATTTGTCTGTAAAAAAAGCATCAGAGAACAAGCTAGAGAATGCTGTCGAAATGCTGTAAGTTTTTTGACTTAATCTTTTATCAATGGTTGGTATTGTAAATACTTATAATATTATTGCAGTTCACTTGATCACATATTTTTGTTGGACGAGAATTTATCAATTGGAATTTCGGAGATGGTCGGCCCGGGATCATTGAAAATTATTTTTGAAAATTTAAGAAGTGAATATATTCCATATCAACTATTAGATAAAGACATTATACGATGTCACGAAATATCCAAGGCACGATTTTTTGAATGACTTTAAGTATAATAATCTTTCATTGGACTAATATTACATTAATCTAAAACAGACCGCAAATGAAAACTTCCAAGGCTGTAAGTCATTACTTAGGAAATGGCAGAAGGAAGTTGAAGAAAACAATGATGATTTAATTTTGGAAGTTTTCGAGTCAATGTAAATCTAGCCCTTTTTCAATTTTTTCGCCATGTTCGTCGCAAGTCTAAATATATGTGTTATTGCATGATTTGGTTTCATTTTATTTTTAATCATGTCATAGTTTCAGGTACCTTCCACATATTAACAAATCAGATGCAAGAAAAGATTCTTTTGTTCACGAAATTTTTTCGTCAATAATAACACCTTTTTTTACAAATAGTGATCTAAAGTGTGAATGGTATTTAAATATTTTTTTTTCTAAAAGAAATATGTGAGTAAATAATGGATTTTCACATATGTTACAATGATTATTAAATATGCAAATTAATTATTTTTAGGTCCTCTGATGTTTTGGATCCATCCACCTACAAAAATTCTCCTTTCCAGGGAAGGAGAGCCGATTTTTCTATTTATACACAAATTCAAAGCAATAAATACTATCTATTGGTATCCGAAATAAAACCTACCAGATATATGTCTTCAAAGGAAACCAATTTTGTGGATTTCGATTTAATAAAAATTGGGAATGAAATGAAGAACATGCTTGATAAGTGCATTAAAAATGGTGTAAAAACCAAAGATTTGTCTATATGTAGCATACTTGTTGAAGGTAAATATGTATTAATGATTTTTAGTATGTACCTCTTTATTTACCTTCCTTTTATAATCAGGTTTTCAGTGCAGTGTGTTTGTTATGGATCTGAAATTTGATGCGATATACCGAATGATACTCCTGGGAAAGTTTTTTCTTCCACAAAATGTTCATAACCTTAATGTACTTTCCATTGCAATAGAAGAACTAATGCAAATAAAGGTCAGTATAGAATGTTTATATTATTTGCCAGATTGTATACTGATTTTTTTTTTTTTTTGTCTTTATACAAAAGAACATTATTTCCCGTTCCGCTGAGCTTTGCTTTCAAAGTTTATCTTAGTGTAATAAAGATCTAAGTATTGACCAATAAGGGTTACAATTAATAGAATTTCTTTACATTTATAAAGTAACTAATTTTCATGTTATTAGCATTGAAATATTTTGATATTCGATTGCATTGTGCTGTACAAATACAGGAGCTCCCTCTCTGCCAATTAAGAAAAATTACCTTCACTTTATAGTGTCGGTTGCGCTACTTGAAGAAACCTCCCAACTCAAGCCTTTGTAAATTGTAAATGGTGCATGATCAACGATACCTATCTTTCAGTATGACTAATCAGAAACAAGTTCTTGCAGGTGTCTGTCTACGAGGACTATTAAAGGAAGAATACAATTAGTAGATGAAAAAAAAGTTAGCCAGACACAAAAGTATTGATTAACCTATGGGACGATTTACATCACACTTAAAATATTAACCTAGTGAGGTCACAACCCATGCATTTTATCTCGGTTTTGCGTCATAGTAAAATTTTTCTATGCCATTTAAAAATAAATTCCGAAATGTGGCAAACAAATAAATGTTTATTATACTTTGATTTATAGACATTTCACTTATGCTCCTATTATTCCGGAAACTTACTTCAAGGATAGGCTGATTTAGGACTTTATTCTCATATCGCAAACCTAAAAATATTTTACTGCCTTAACCATCGATCCACCATTTGCCATTCAGATACCAATGCTCTTTTTTACATATATGGCAGATTCAAGCAAAGCGACTCTTGAAATCGATTTACTAGCAAATTAATAACCTCTTCACGATTCTTGCAAAGAGAAAAGAGCTTAAGAGTGCATTTTCAAAATTTGAGACTTACCTGAGATGTAAATGGTTGAGATGTGACTGATGTACCCATCTTTATATTAGGGCATTTTTTCGCACTAGAAGAATTGAATTCTTTAGTTTCGGTAATTAAGAAGTCACATGACTCTAATGGTCGATTTGCCAAAAAGAGAACATATGATTTGCTTTTTTTTTTTTGATGCACTGCAAACTTTATTAATATTTCAGTAAAAAAGTAAGGTAACAAGTGAATTAATATAATGCTATCAAAGAGGGTACACGAATAGATTATTTTTTGTCTCCGAAATAACAACCATAGAAAAAAATCCAATGGTCTTTGATCTGATTTGCTGAGATAAAAAATAAATAGGCAAATTTTCATATCGCCTCATCTTCAATTAATGGTTTATAATAATTTTTTTATCATTGAATAATTTTACTGTTTATTTATTGCACAAGGTCACTAATCTTATATGAATTTTAGTGATCAAAGAATCGAATTAGGAATTAGGAATTATGTTAACTTGATCTTATTATGAAAATCAATTATTTATACATATAAAAATTTTGATTATATGCGCTTTTGTTGCTGAAATTTTCCGAAATACATTATATTTTAATAAATAACACAATACTGTATCATAAAATAACAGATTGTATAGTAGAAATAAAATAAATAATCTAAACCAAGTTCAGGAAAATTAGCTTAATTGATAAAAAAATTTTCCTTTAATTAATATATATATAGTTTTCTTGTATAAGTTATATAATGTTAGAAAAAAAAAATAGATTTTTTAATATAAACTTTAAGATTCTCTTCCTTATAAATTTTTTATTAAAATTAATTTTAGTAAATAAAATTCTTATATTAAATCTTATTTTATGATTTAATTTTTATCAAGTGTATTATCTTTATAGATTTTAATTTTTAAACATCTGGTTTAATTATAAATACATAATTCTGATTATAAACAAAAGTTTTTCTAAAATTTTAATTATTTTCTAAAAAAAATAGATTTTAATATTATATAATAAATCAAAACATAACTAAATATGAATTTTAAGTATTAATTCAAATTATAGTTTTTTTTATTTTTTTTATCTAATTTTATTACTAACCCTTTCCTTAAATATTAAGTTTAAAAATTATTAATACTTCTATAATTTAATATTTTAGAATTAGCATTATTTTACTAAAATAATATAATTAAATCAATAATTTTTTTTTAAAAAAAATTTATATATAATTGCTTATTTATATGAAAAAAATAAGTTATTATCTTTTAGAATCTATTTTATATATATATAAATATTATTATTCTTTAATAATTTTCCAATTTTTTATTTTTAATTTTGCATTTTAATTTTAAATTTTAATATCTTTTTTATAATTAATTTATTTTTAAATTTGTTATTAAATTTAAATAAATAATCTGTTTCTAAATTAAATAAATTAATTTAAGAACTGATATTTATAAAATAATAAGAATTCTTAAAGATTATAAATTTAAATAAATAAAATTAATTTATAAAATAAATTATATATATAAAAAATAATTTGTTATTATTTTCTCTATTAAAAAATAATATTTAATTTATTATTTTAAATTTAGCAAAATATTTAAACTTTAGTTTCACTATTTTTTACAAAAGTTTTAATATAGTTTCACATTTTTATAAATTTTGATATAATTTTATCTTTTCTTGAGTTTTGCAGATTTTTTAATAATATTTTAATATAATTTTGCTAAATTTTACCTTTGACTATTTAAATAATTTGCAAAACCTATAAGTTTTATCTAGTAATCTTACATATAAGTAATAAATTTTTTTTTATAAGAATATTATTTATTAGTTTTAATAAAATATTTATTTTTAATTTTATTAATTTATAAAATACATATAGTAATAGTAAAATCTTTTCTATTTTTTAATAATAAAAATATTGAAATTTTATTATAATTAATAATTTAATAAATTAAATTATTTATTATTATTTATTATAAACTATTATTTTCAATATTATTTATTTATTAATAAAATTTTGAATTTATAAGACAAAATTTTATATAAATTAAACAATTACTGAGATTAACAAAATTAAAAAAAAAATTAAAAAAAATTTATATATAAATTTTATAATAATTTATTAAAAATAATAATATTTTATTATAGTTATTTATCTATCTTTAATTTTTTAAATATATTATTTTTTACTTTATATTTATATATTATTTTCTATTTTTAAGTATTTTTTTTACTTTTATTAATTATATATAATTTATTGGTAAAAAGTATAATAAATTTATATTTTATAATTAAAATATTATTTAAAAATAAGCATTATAATTAAAAAAAATGACATAATTTAATCAATTTATAACACAATTAAATTTATTTATGGTG